TTGACGAGGATTGAAACAACAGACAAATCAATACTGAAACACATTCCAGTAAGAAACTTTTTCTTCAATACAACCAGTGTCAAGATTCGACGTCGCAACTCTCTCCTCCGCTGTCTTTCTCTGGACATTTTCTCCAGCAATAAAGCTTTGGTAAACCTCGCCATTTCGTTTTGGTTTTCCCGCCCTGGTGCCCGCCGCTGGTCAGATAAATGCGGAAGGCTCGGGCAGAATATTAAATTCGTCTTATTAATTTCGAAGTCTAAATCACCCGTCTACTAATCGTCGACTGATCGACGAATTTAATTTGAATTAAATTCGTCTGAATTAAATTCAACTATAAACTAGGTCATAGGGTATTTAGCCTCAAAATGTCGACAGCGGGAGCTTTCACGGTACCTTATAAGGTATTGAGCCAAAAAAATATGACAGAAGATATTTGACCAGCAACTTTATGAGTAGAAGGTATGCAAAGTAATCGTCTTTATCGCTGCTAAAAATTATGCAAGTGTCAGTTTATGTGTTGTTTAGAATTGTTACCTCTTAGGGGTGAAAAAAAATTTCAAGCCGAGCCCACAGAACAGGATCATGGTACCTCTTAGGGGGTTATTTTCAAAATTTCCGACCAGCACCCCCCGTCCTTTTTATATGGGTGTCCCCCCGGGTCATCTTCTACAACAAGTTACTGCAGTGATACAGCAACTAACAACAGTTACTGCCACTTGTGGCAAATATTTGACAATGCTTTCGGCTAAACCCTAAAGAACAGTTTTAAACTGATGAAAGCATTCGTTAATCGAGATTGGAGAAAGATCCTAACTTAGTGACAAGCTGGCCATGTTGAAACTTACACAGTGAAGTAAGCCCAGTCTAAGTGCAGCAAAATACATCAAACATAACAAACCATGTTTTACAGCACTTCCAAACACCGAGATGAGAATTGAAATACGACCTTCGAGGTGCATTTTTGGAAATGTGATAAAACACGTTCCGAGTACTTGATATATCTTCTCAATCGAAACTAAGACCAAGGAGTAACATGAGGGTAAAATGGAGAAATAAAATTGTTGAAATCTGTGCTAATTAACATCAGATATCCAAACGCCGTCACAGTTGTGATTTCTTTTGTTTAAACTTGATCAATCATGTATTACTCAGCCGTGTTCTACTAGATGGAAACCCACGTACCTGATTGGTTCTCTTATCGTGTCATTTTGTTTATACAGTCTCCAGAAGATTGAACATTGTTTATTTAAAATTCTGCAAATTTAAGTTATTATATTTAGTGTGGATGTTATTAGTAATAGTAGCTAAAAAATGAAGTATTATGGCTAGCTTTCTCATGTGAATTGTACCTCTTTAACAAACTTAGCAGGCCATATTCGTAATGGTCCGTAACCGTAATGAACTGGTAATAGCTGACAATGTAAGCTCGCTCGTGAGAATATCGTTAAAAAGGGATGAATGTCATTTGCATTTTAAAAGCTTCCCGCATTAGCCTCGGTTGCAAGCTGGCTCCAGTCCAATACCGAGAATACGAATATGGTCAATTGAAAACTTCTTTCATGTCTCCAAGAGAGTGTCCAGTTTTTGAACTTTATCTTCTCCTCTACAACTCACTTGCAGCATTGTTAGCGTTACAACGTCAACCTCACGATGAGGCACCTCGTGCTTGTCGTTAAGATCTGTGTTGTAGGATTCTTCCATGAACCTGACTTGACCTTGCAGCAATTTTTCATTCCCTTCTTTAACTCCCTCCATGATTCTCTGTCCGGCATAAGCGATGAGGCCAAAGAAGAGAAATCCGAACACTATGATACCCACGGACAGTCCAATCAATACTTTGGTGAGAGGAACTATTGCGTACGCGCTGATAAGGGCCACGGTGTCCAAAATGTAAATCAAACTCGCCAGAATTTGGCGATGAAAATGGCTACCGATGACAGATCCAAGTGGAGCACCCAGCACAACAATGGGGACGCAAACTGCAAGGTAGTAATAAGCCTCAGCGCTGATTGCCTGTTGCATGACTTGACGCCAGTAAAAACCAACAACGGTGTTTCCTGCCATTAAGACGACAGAGGTGGGCGTGGCAGTCTTCTCTGTGATGCGGAAGAGAAGAGTGAGGATACTGAAGCTGCAGATGTCCACGCCACTTCCGGCGATAGCAGAGAAGATTCCGCCTATGAACCCGGTCAGTAAAAGGACGATCATCTTCCAGAGCTTGAAGTCTGAGATAACTTTGAATGTCTTACGCTTGTGGTAACGGTTTAACAGGAAAAGAGCAAAGGCGAAGGAAAACCACACACAGACAAATCCAATTTTCTTCTGGGGTGGTGTGAGGTAAGGATCAATAAGCTCCAAACCGATCACCATGCCAACGACTCCTCCAAGCGAACAGATTATTATGGAATGCCATTCAAGCTGCACGCGCATCCAGAAGATGGTGAAAGCCGCTGCTGTCATACCGCAGGACTGAATCATCAGTGAGAAGTCACGTGCTATTGCTGGTGCTATGCCAAAAGCGAGGGTCATGACGGGAAATGCTACTGCGCCTCCACCTTCACTGCTCATTCCTAGGAAGAGAGAGGTCATTTATTTACTTCAAACGTCATATTGGTTTCATTTAAGAGAGATGACAAGCGAAATGTATTGTAGACAGATGGAGGCAGAGTAAGAGACAGCATGGACGACTGGTTAGGGGGCCGGACTTGAAATCTTCGGAGGTCGCGGGTTCAAGTCCCGTTCTTACCAATAAAGCTGGAGTTGTTTCTTGCTATATCCTAGTTCAACTCTACGGTCATGCTTGCAAATAGCCAACTGGTCTGCGATAGACTAGCGTCCCATGCAGAGGGTAGGTATATCCAGAAGAGTAGAAATACTTCTAGTCGTCTAATGTTACGGGGATGTATCCCGCGGGGGGGGGGGGGGGG